CCCCAGTCCAGAGGGCGGAGGAACAGGGTTCAGATACAACAAGCTCCAACAGTCGGCAGAGGGTTGGCTGCCTCTCTGGCCTCAAGTGCAGCTGTAGCCCATGGGTAAGTCTTGCACGGCTGTGTACACCTTCTGCAGACAAGATTGGTGCCACCTGAACTGTAAGATGTTCCCCAGGGTTGTGGTCAAGCTTTGTAGCCAAATTAGTGACAATAAAGTCCAATTTGTGCCCAGGATCACATTTTCGCTGAGGAGCTCCAGCACCATGTGACTTCTCCAGTCTGCTGCGGGCTCGCCTCCCACCAATATTTTTTTTTTATATTTGGGCACTGGAGTGTCCCTTTAACCCCTTAAGGACACATGACATGTGTGACATGTCATGATTCCCTTTTATTCCAGAAGTTTAGTCCTTAAGGGGTTAAAGTCCAGATTGTTATGACATTATAAACCATTATTGTTTGTTGAGATTAACTTATCATTAATTTTAAGAGACATCAGTGATCTCTCTGACGGCAAGATGCATACACAGTCAGGCTCCTTTAATCTCATATTATGAAGCTATAATATATGTAGATATTTATCATACCTGCTGGTAGTCCTGGATTTAGCGGGGGTATCGGAGGTCAGTCTCACAATACCAAGTGTGTTCTTTGGTCTCCCAAATCTAGAGACACCAAGGAAAAACCCAGTAAGTGCTGTGTGACTGCATTAACAGGCGCATTCGCACTGCGCAGAGTAATCCCAGGGTAAAGAGCCAATGACAGAGCCCTTCAGAGGGCCATGCCATGCCTTAGAGGCCAGGCTGACCAGCAACCTTTCTGCGCAGCATGTTCACTTCCAGCGAACCGGGCGGTAGGAATGATGCAAGGGGACATATATATTATGTACAATCACGGGAAAAAGAAAGTACACCCTCTTAGAATTCTATGGTTTTATTGTTGTTAAATAAATCATTACATGGTGTAATATGTCCTGTGCTGTTGTTCATCTAAGGTTGTATTTACCTAATTTTAGGATCTGCTAAGAGGATTGCTATTGGCTTTTATATAGCGCCAGCATATTCCGTAGCGCTTTACAATATTACAAGGGGATAATTACAAAAGCCTACAGGAACAATAGGTTGACGAGAACCCTGTTCAAATGAGCTTATAGTCTAGAGGAGTTATTATGTCCTGATTGTAAAACCACAGAATTTAAGAGATTGTGCTTCCGTTTTTCCATGGCTCTATATTGTTTTGTGAGGAAAGAGTCATTTTTTATTTATTAGGATGTGGGGAAGTTTAGATCTTAATGCTGCAAGATAAGTTCATGAATTAAAGTAGAAACATCCGTTGTAATGTAATATTCTTCTTAATAAAGACAATGTACTTTCATAAAAAGATAATATGTGGCGTATCTAATCTAATGCGATAACCATGGTGATCGAGGAATGATGTCACCAGGCAGAGAGTGATAATATCCATTAGTGACAAAACATCAGGACTGACATTAAATCGCATTCATTGCGCCAGAGGATTAGCCATCGGTCGTTAGAGAGAACATAAAGGTGTAACTGTGACACAGCCTGCACAGCCTGATAACTGGCTAACCTTCTTAACCCCTTAAGGACCAAACTTCTGGAATAAAAGGGAATCATGACATGTCACACATGTCATGTGTCCTTAAGGGGTTAATGGGTTTTGTTTTGTTATTTTTTTCATTCATTCTTAATAATTTTTATATTATAGTTTAAATGACATGGCTGGATCAGAAAGATCAATGAATTGGCCGGCAATCCTGGCGTCTAACACGCCAGATGACTGATAGCCTGTCCTGCCGCCCCCAACCTACCAGGCCATGTAGAGAGCACTGTTGCAGCGCTGTCTGCTATATCTTAGTGCACTACAAAGCGAGAACGAATAATGATGCACTTACACATGTTACTAAAAAGTGTGTTTCTGTGTATATAAGTGTCTGTGTAATATATGTATGTCTGTCAATTTGTAAGTGTGCTTGTATGTGTACCTGTGTCTGTGTATATAAGTGTCTGTGTGTAATATACGTATGTCTGTCAATTTGTAAGTGTGCTTGTATGTGTACCTGTGTCTGTGTGTATCTCAGTGTGTGCATAAGTGTCAGTGTGTGTATCTGTATGACTGTCAGTTTGTAAGTGTGTACGTGTACCTGTGTCTGTGTGTATCTCAGTGTGTGTGCATATTAGTGTCTGTGTGTATCTGTGTGCGTGGCAGTGCATACATCTCAGCATTCCAACACACACCACTACACACCTTTTTTTTATTGTTGTAAGAAATGAATAAATGAATTTATGACAGGCAGTTATTCTTTGTTTCTTGTTTTCACTGTTTATGTATAACTTTTTTGAATTCGGCCCTTCATACTTCATACTTTTTCAGTGAACAATTTGGCCTTCCAGAATAAATGAGTTTGACACCCCTGCACTAAAGTGTCATTTGTCAAAAAAATTTTTAGAATTTCTAATTTTAGGCCAAAGTATGTAAACTGAAAACATTACCCAAGTCAGCTTTAAAAAAAAAAAAAAAAAAAAAATATTATTTATATTATTATTATTGACTGATTTTTTAAATGAACTTAGAATGAATTTTGAATCCCTGCAATTCACGCCTTTAGCACAGAAACCTGTGTGAGCATTGTCTAGTCTTAGAGAATAATAAAGGTGCTAAATCGTAGTGCATTGCAATCAAACTGCTGAATAAAGGATTAAAAAGCTGGGCTAGAAAAACAGCTCTTGTATTCCATTTGCGATTACTGACCGAAAATGTAACAATTTACTATTTATTTAATAAACCCCAAAGGAATCCGGAGAATGTGGAGGGATACCAGCAGAGGGAAGGAGAAGAATAGAGCTGATTTTTACAGCTAACCTACAACCCTTCTCACCATTTATATCACATGTAAAAGTGTCCAGGCCTTTATGGAGATAAAGATGGGAATATCTATGAAATTCTTTACCTCCATCTATCTCGCCCTCCCTCACATTCCTCTTCTTTATATACGCCAAACATACCACAGCTTTAACGCACTCCTAATCACTGGCGCTTTAACACTAACCATCCCCATCCCACAATTATCATCTATACAGATTCCTGAAAGTCTCCAAACCACCATCTGGACCTAACACCACCATGAATCCTCCCTCAAAATCTCATCCTCTTCTCCCCCTTCTCTCCATCGGTTCTTCCCTGAAATGTGGATTGTTGGGAATTCAACATGAATTTCAAATTTTATTTTAAAATAGCGAAACGTTACGTCACCCCTGAATTCCTGCTTTTAAGCTGCTGCAAGTGCGTTGCGTGTGCAGAGCAAAACGAGCATCCCAGCTCACGCTGTGACAACAGCATTCGATTGGTCATGAATGCCTTGCGGCAACGCTTTGCGCGGTAATTCAATTTACAAATACTGCAGTCCATGAGGTCATTCTCACGTACCACAAAAATTCAATCACTTAAGTACCTCTAGCAGGTCCTGACCACACACACTACATCCACTACACAAACACACACACACTACACTCATTATACACACTCTGCAATAACCACACACACTACAAAACACACACACTCTGCAATCAATATACACACGCACACACTATATTCACTAGACAAATACACACTCTGCAGTCCATACACATACGCTACACAGACTACACAAACTCTGCGATCACCACCAGGGCCGGACTGGGTATACAAAGCAGCCCTGGAAAAAAAATCTATGCCAGCCCCCTAAGTCACTGCGCCATATATTGCCGTATGTAATATGTAAGGCAATGTCTTGCCACCCCAGTTGAGTGAGATATATATATGGCTTTTTCTAATATATAATATTGGTCCTTTCAGATTAAAACGTTTAATTATACATTAAGCATACTCGCATGCAGTGTTTACATTGCTTCCTAGTGACACCTCTAGTGACACTCCTGTGTCAGTGCTGCACAGTGTGATTGCACAGTTCACACTACATTCAGGGCCTTTGCAGCCAGTCCTATGGCAGAGCATTGGATTGGCTCAGATCATCAAGCTTGATGATCTCAGCCATAGAGGCAGGGCCAGTCGAAGGGAGACCAGCACGCTGCGTGGGGAGAAATAAAAAAGGTGGGTAAAAACACTTTTTAAATACACACAGACACACACATACACCATGACACAGACACACACACAACACAGACACACCATGACACAGACACACCATGACACAGACACACCATGACACAGACACACACACCATGACACAGACACACACACACCATGACACAGACACACACACACCATGACACAGACACACAACGACACAAACACACACACCATGACAGACAGACACACAATGACACAGACACACACACCATGACACAGACACACCATGACACAGACACACACACACACACACACATACACTCACACTGACAGAATTACACATATTACCTGTGGGTGACCGGCTGGGTGGGGTAGTGGCCGCAGGGGGAGGTCTGCTGGCGGCCGCTGGCGGAGGGAAGTCTGCTGGCGGCCACTGGGGGAGGTCTGCTGGCGGACGCTGGGGGAGCTGTCTCTGTCTCTGCTCCCCCGCCCTCGTGCACAGCTTAATGAGACCGGGGCCGGAATATGATGTCATATTCCGGCCCCGGTCTCATTAACCTGCGCGCTGGGGAGCAGAGACAGAAACAGCTCCCCCAGCGGCCACCAGCAGACCTCCCCCAGCGGCCGCCAGCAGACCTCCCCCAGCGGCCGCCAGTATAGAAACGTAGAAACATAGAAACATAGAATATGACGGCAGATAAGAACCATTCGGCCCATCTAGTCTGCCCAATTTTCTAAATACTTTCATTAGTCCCTAGCTTTATCTTATAGTTAGGATAGCCTTATGCCTATCCCACGCATGCTTAAACTCCTTTACTGTGTTAGCCTCTACCACTTCAGCTGGAAGGCTATTCCATGCATCCACTACCCTCTCAGTAAAGTAATACTTCCTGATATTATTTTTAAACCTTTGTCCCTCTAATTTAAGACTATGTCCTCTTGTTGTGGTAGTTTTTCTTCTTTTAAATATAGCCTCCTCCTTTACTGTGTTGATTCCCTTTATATATTTAAATGTTTCTATCATATCCCCTCTGTCTCGTCTTTCCTCCAAGCTATACATGTTAAGATCCTTTAACCTTTCCTGGTAAGTTTTATCCCGCAATCCATGAACCAGTTTAGTAGCCTTTCTCTGAACCCTCTCTAAGGTATCAATATCCTTTTGAAGATAAGGTCTCCAGTACTGTGTACAATACTCCAAGTGAGGTCTCACCAGTGTTCTGTACAATGGCATGAGCACTTCCCTCTTTCTACTGCTAATACCTCTCCATATACAACCAAGCATTCTGCTAGCATTTCCTGCTGCTCTATTACATTGTCTGCCTACCTTTAAGTCATCAGAAATAATCACCCCTAAATCCCTTTTCTCAGATGTTGA